TGAGCTCATAGCAGTTGTGAGAGCATGCAAAGGTCTGCTCAAGCCTGAGCCAGACAAAATCCCAGCATGGAGGGCTGGAGAGATGGCTCAGTGGTTAAGAGCACTGGCTGCTCTTGCAGAGAGCCCAGGTTCAGGTTCCAGCACCCACATGGCAGTTAACAACCATTCTAACTCCAGTTCCAGGGGATCTTACACTCACACACTCATATACATAAAATAAAAATAATAGATAAAATATTTTAAAATTTGTTTTTATTGAATTTTTGTGCATTTCATTCAGAACATGTCAAACAATCTTAATCATCTTTATACCCCTGTTCCCACCAGCACCCTCCCATAGCCCCCTCCCCCCACTGGAGCCCATATACTCTGTCATCCCTGTTAAGGCCCACTGTGTCAAGTCAGTGTCCCAGATGTTCCCCAGTGCAAGTCCATCCACTGAGGTCTAGTCATCCTATCTAGAGTCTCTTCTTTTAGGAAGATCAGCTCTTCTTCACCTAACATCAGTCAATTGCCAATATTTCTTCAGATAAGATTGGGGTCTGCTGTTCATTTTCCCAGTTCTATGCTGGGTTTTTATCTACCTGAGCTTGCATGGTATGCTGACACCATTGCCATAGAATCATATAAGCAGGCTCTCAGGAGCTTGTACGACTCTTTCAATATGGCCATGCACCTTCTCCCTGGCTCTTACAATCTTTCCACCCCCTCTTCTGCCATAGTCCCTGAGCCTTGGGTAGGTGAAGTTTAACAAAGCAGTCATGTCCAAGGACCAGCATTCAGCAGACTCTTCATCTCTACACTTTGGCCATTTGTGACCTTTTGCGTTCCTGGCCCTCTGCTGTGTGAGGGAAGCTTCATTAATGAGAGATTCATTAGTGTCCTCTTCTTTCCCTTGTCCTTTGTTATATGAGCCTTAGGTGTAGATGTGTCACGTAGGCCTGGGCAATTCATAGACAATGTCTATGTGTGATCAGTTGTGGTACTTGGTATTAGTCTCTGACTCTTGCAAATTGAGCTTCTTTGATGAGTGGTGACTGGAATATTTGTCTGTAAATATAAGGACACATATTTTGCATGTAGTAAGAAATCACATTAGTCTAGGGAATGAAGTCCCACCACTAGCTGAGGAGTTACTGACATATGACAGTTGTGAGAGGAAGAACTGGTTTTCTTTAAGGATGTGGCCCTGGTAAGTTGACCACTCTCCAGGGCTGGATCCACACTCCAGAGTATTTGGGCAGCACAAATTGGCCTTGATGAAAGAGAACAGCAACAACAACAACAAAAAACCCACAAAGGGGATGGGTAGGGAGGTGGGGATGGATCTTGGAAGAGTTGGGAGAGGGAGAAATATGATCAAAATATATTGTATGAAATTTTCAAAGAATTAATTTTAAGAAATGAAAATAAAAATAAATTCTTAATTTAAAAAAGAAAGGGTGTGGTGGTGCATGCCTTTAATCCCCTGCCCTGAGTTCATACCTTGGGCTCCCTAATGAACTGTGACCAGAAGATGTAAGCTGAATAAACCCTTTCCTCCCCAAGTTGGGAGTGGGGAGAGAATTTTTTTAAAAAAAAAAAAAAAAAAAAAAAAAAAAAAAAAGGAAAGGGGAAATTGTTATTTCATAGATTTGGGGAGAGCTTCTGGAAATCTGCCCATTGGTAAAGTATCCCAAATCATTCATGACAGAGCAGAGGATCTCGGCTCAGCAGTGTAATCTTACCAGTGTACTGCTTTTGGGGCTCACCTGTACTTAGACAGGTGTCCTGGTACACACCTTTAATCCCATCACTGGGAGCCAGAGGTGAGTGGATTTCTCTGAGTTCAAGGCCAGCCTCATCTACACAGCCAGTTCCAGGCTAGCCAGGGCTACATAGTGAGACCTTGTCTCAAAAAAAATAAAATAAAAATAAAAATAAAACAACAAAAATTTACCTGTAGTGAGATGCTTGGAGCTGCTGAGGCTTCTCCTCTGCCTTCTGCCTTCTTCAGAGTGGCTCCCTTCCTCCTTCTGCGTCAAGCTGCCCAGCTAGGTGCGCACCTACTCTCCTGAACCCACCAGCGTATAGGTTGGGTACCACTTTATCTCAGATGCTTCTGATAAAATATTCAAGATCCACAAGGATCTTGACAGATTGTCAGTTAGCGGAAGTAGAGGAAATGAATTTGAATGGGGCCTAATGTAAAGTAAGCACTGGGGTCTAAGGAGGGAATACAAAGAACTGCCGGGCAGGCAGCTGCTTCTGAGCTAAAGTGAGATGCAACAAGACAAGCATGCAGAAATACAGCCCAGAGACCAAAATCAAAGAAAAGCTCTTTTCAGGTGATCCCTTTTCATCAGCATTTATTTAATATTTTTATGATACCAAGTGAATTTCATAATAAGATAAAGGAATAGTCTCTGTAACTGAAATAGAAGGACCTAAACTTATTCCTTATACTCAGCCAGAGCTAATAGTAGCTTACTGGTTGGACACTGGCCTCTAGATCAGGAAGTTCAGTGGGTGACACTGATTTGAATCAGAATTTACTATTTTACGGATCAGACCCTCAGCTCAGCTTATACATTTGGTCAAGTGCAATTTTTTTTTATTGTGTCCTTCTCTAAGAATCGCTGTAAAAATGACCTTAGACAGCTGGCTCATGTTAAAATAAGATTCTGGCATTCACAGGGTACTCTCCTAAGTGATCCAACTGCATTATCACTATCACGTTTAGTCTTCATGAGTCCAATGAGCATGCAATCTTATTAGCTCTGTTTTGTAGGTGAGAGATTGAGGTTCCGATGAGGTAAGGCACTTCACTAAAGCAACAATCAGAGCTGTCAAGCTAGGCAGATCTGGTCCCAAAGACTAAGTGTGTTAACCTCACCATCCCAAATGAGACTATTACATTTAGTGAGGTCCAAACTGGCCATGCACATGAAGACCCCAGGAATGCTTTAGATGTCATCTGAAAACAAATATGATTACTTATGGCCAGGACTGTGGCTTTTGATCCCAAAACTACCTGCTGCCCAACCATTATACTCTGACAAGGTCTAGGTCTAGTGAATTTTTCTACTAGGCAAATTCCTCTTGCTTAATAAAAGTGCTTACTGTGAAAGCTCAAAACCCAGCAGCAATTAATTATTGACAGAGCATGTGAATTAGAGATAAAAGAAAAGTCATTCTTTCTCCACACAAGCAATAGTAAATAAATTTAATTACGGTAGGAGAAGCTAAGGGATCTTCGTCGTATTAAGTTTCATTAGCCGAGACATTTAAAAGCATGTCATCATAACAAAAAGGCCTCGTGTAATCCTAAATGTACCACTTTGGTACAAGGCTCAGAACTGAAAAGACTTAATGGAGCACCTGGTGGCAGATGGCCCACAGGTATTGAACAGGCTTATCGTCAGTTAACTCTGGTCTACATATGCCTATAGCAAACTGACTGTATATTAGGATCCCGAGCCTTATTTTTATCACTGATGGGCACACCACAATGGACTGGAGGTAGTGGTATCAAACCTCCTTTAATATCTTGGAGTTCCCAAACAAGATAACATCTTCTTGAAGGCAAACATGGATCGGAGGGTAGAGGTGGGAAAGTGTCTTTGTCAAAAAGACTAAGGGATGTGAGCCCTAATATGTGGTTGTCAGCAGCTTTCCATTACTATTAAAAACAGTACCTGTGACAATCAACTTAAGAAGAGGAAAGGTTTGACCTGGTTCATAGTTACAGAGATTTCATTCAGCCCACCATTTCTTTACCCCATTGCTTTTGGGTCTGTGGCAGCACAATTCATCGTGGAGGGAGCACATGGTGGAGGAAAGAGAAGGAGAAGCTGAGCTCTTAATACGCCCTTTTAACACGTGCTTCTGCTGGCCTAAACTGTCCTCACTAGACTCCACCACCCAACCTAGGTTGGGGACCAAGCCTTTAACACAAGACTCCAACTGGAACAAGATCCATGATTGGCTAAGTTAGGCGTTGAACCACACCTATGCTAGGTGTTTTCACTTTTTATGTCATTTTGCTCTCAGATGGACTGGAGGCAAGTTTGAGGAGTTTTTGTGCTTGTTTTCTGAGGTCATAAAGCCTGTCTGATGCTGTTGTCTGTCCTTTGTCCCAGGCTTCATCATTTGTATAATTTTGTTTTTGGACTAAATCAGAGTTCAGCAAACTTCCTTAAAATGAAAGTTAGTGGATATTTCAGGTTCTGTGGGCCACATGGTATTCATCACACAAATTCCACTTAGTATTCATTATACAAGAGCAGCATATGAAGAATATGTAGGTGACTGAGTGTAGTTGAGTCCCAATGAAGCTTTATTTACAAGCACTGAAATTTAAATTCTATATAATTTTCATGTATCACACAATGCTATTATTACTATCATTTGAATTTTTTTCCCTCCCAACCATTTAAAGATCATAAATCCTCCTTAGCTCATATAAAAACAGGAGACAGGTTCCGGGAATTCACCAACCCTGGACTAGATAATCTTTGAGGTCTTGTTGAGCTCAAACATTTCCTAAATGCTACTACAACAATAATAAAACCCTTAATTTATTAAGCTCTTGCACACATGTGATTCTGTGCCAAATGCTTTTCAAACATTATCTTCCCTAATCCCTGCACTACAGTGTGAAGGCACTGCTATCATTACCTCCATTTCGGAGATTGTAAAACTAATATGTAGAGGAATTAAGGGCATATCTAGGTTAAATACAACTGGTAAAAAGCACAAAAGCATTTAAACACAGGGATACAAGGTTCCTAAAGAAGAATGCGTAAGCCTTTTGCTGGTTTTTGTTTTTTTTTTTTCTGATAATTACAGAGTCAAGACTACAGTTGGGCACAGAGATAAAAAAGAACTCCCCAATGTTTATCAATTCTATTTGGTGGTTTTTACCTAGGTTTCGTATTGCATATAATTTGTGCAAAGATTGTAAAATATTTTGGGGGTAGGAATAACCATTGTATTCCCCTTTTTCTTTCCCTTTCCAGAAATGTGATGCCCAAGACTTTGGATGGGCAGATAACTATGGAGAAGACCCCCAGTTACTTTGTGACGAATGAGGCTCCCAAACGCATTCACTCCATGGCCAAGGACATCAAACTCATTGTGGTGGTGCGAAACCCAGTGACCAGGGCCATTTCTGACTACACCCAGACATTGTCAAAGAAGCCAGAGATCCCCACCTTTGAGGTGTTGGCCTTCAAAAATCGGACCCTGGGGCTGATTGATGCTTCCTGGAGTGCCATCCGTATTGGCATCTATGCTCTGCACCTGGAGAACTGGCTCCAGTACTTCCCCCTCTCTCAGATCCTGTTTGTCAGTGGTGAGCGACTCATAGTGGACCCCGCAGGGGAGATGGCCAAAGTACAGGATTTTCTAGGCCTCAAGCGTGTTGTGACTGAAAAGCACTTCTATTTCAACAAAACCAAGGGATTTCCCTGTCTGAAGAAGCCTGAAGACAGCAGTGCTCCAAGGTGCTTGGGCAAAAGCAAAGGGCGGACTCATCCCCGCATTGACCCTGATGTCATCCACAGACTGCGGAAATTCTACAAACCCTTCAACATGATGTTTTACCAAATGACTGGTCAAGATTTCCAGTGGGAACAGGAAGAGGGTGATAAATGAGGCTGAGGCTGGTAGTGTGGAGGGAAGGCTAGTGAGTAGCAAGGATGCTCCTTACCAGAGTCCCAAATCTCCCAGGTTCTGCAGCTTCAGCCTTGCTGGAGTGCCAGGCAGATCTGTAACCTCCAGTCAGGGTTACTGCCCAATGGTGTGGCCTCAGGCAAAGGTTCATGCATTCCCATGGAGCGACTAAAGGCTTCTGGTTGACCAGATGACCACCAGAACCTGTCATGAATTCCTATCTCCTGCTAATTAGTGGAGTCTGGAGATGGGATGAATATCTGTCACTGTCACAAACAGATGCTATAAATGGTGATGAGTGGTAAAAAAGAAAGATGGTCTTTGTGGGAGCTCTTATTCTAGCCTAAGGAGCTTGGGTTCTAGCCTTGTGTCTAATCCCTGGTATGTAAACATCTGCTCTGACTTCTTTCCAGAATGCTATTGTGACTGAGTGTTCCAGGACTCCCAGGGAGCAAGATCCTCCTTCTAAGGCCTTTCTAGCCTTCTCATCAAAGGCCTCATCACACAACCCTTTGACTTCCTCCCTCTCCATAATACGAAGGCGAAGGCATGCACGTATGTTCCTCCCCGACCCCCAAATAGCTGACACTCTTGGAGCCTTCTTTCTGAAAGCCTTTTAAGGTGGGTCTCTCTTCATGGGTGTCCTGAGTTTTGGAGAAGCTCAGCACACGTCCTCACACTGGAGTCAGGCCCACAGGGACACTTCCACAACAGGGAGATAGCAGCAAATTTAGAGCTCTGAGGCCGGCAAAAATGAATGTCTGTAACTTAGGGTATAAGAAGAAACTCAGTCTTCTCGGTGGGAGACCTTCTTACCTAAAGATCCTCTCCCTGAAGCTAAAGTGTGCTTTGAGATAGCTCTGTGCCCTAGAGTCCCCAGAGAAGCAGAGACCAGAGCTGGCTTGTTAATTGTTTTGTATAGCCCTTCAGGATACCATGGGGAAGGGAGCGCTCAACATTATTCTGCTTGTCCTACCACCACCCCTCAGGGTCACCACATGGTACATTTTCTCTTCTTGGAGATGGCATCTATTGGGCCATTGGCAAGAGTGTTAGAGAATAGGGGCAGGCAAGGGCTGTCAGCAGACATACCCATCAAGGGCTGCCAAACAAAGTGTCCCTTCGCATTAGTATGGTTCAATTAAAACACAGCATTTGACATAAAGCGCTTGTTCAAAAAATCTCCAGAGCCAGGAATTGTTCTAGTAAAACTGGAAATTTGTATGAGTGGGGGGAGTTAAATCTGTTCAGCTGTTATTAAACTGTCATTTCTCCCGCTAAATGGAAACCGTGTTGTTATAAAGCTTAATGCAACCTGATTGATGGGTTCTGATGGTGTGTTTGTGTTGGTGATTTCCACCCCACCCCCACCCTGGCATACAGGGAGTGACTTCGTCTGGATCCCAGATAGACCAGGTTTCTGTTTTGGAGAGTTCTATGTGCAAGGCAGGGTGCTTCATGCAGTAGCACAAAGGCTGCGGCTGGTGAGACGGCTGCTGGTCTCTGCATCACAACCAGTCCCTGCCAGCAATGGACTAATAAGCCAGATTCAGAAACATCTGTACAAATAATTTTTCCAGATAAGAAAAATTTAGCTGAATGCCACAGATATGCTTTCACTACCAAAGTAAACAGATAACAGATCAAAATAGTGTTCACATATTTAAAGAAGGGAATTCATGGCTCTTGAGAAGGGTGGACTGTGGCATGAGCTGATGTGGGTGGGGCCTTGCTTCATGAGACCAAGGAGTGAGTAGGTTTCAGTACTAGCAGAATCACCATAGATTTGGTAAAGATATGTGCCCAAGCAGGCATAGTATATCCATTTAACCTTAGCACTTCAAGGAGCTGAGGCAGCCTGAGGGTTCTGAGACCAGTCTGTGTCACATAGGGAGATTTTTGTCTC